CAATCCACACACACACACACACACACACACACACACACACACACACACTCTCTAGCCTTGCCCAATCCACATACACAAACACACACACACACACACTCTCTCTCTAGCCTTGCCCAATCCACACACACACAGCTCGCGATCCACACGCAGCTGAGCCTCAGAAAATCAGTGACCACTAGATGACACTAGCCCCAGTCACATGTGCACTTTCCACTGAGTACGGTTCTGTGAATGTAACATTGTTTTCTTTGTTTCTTTTTGGTTTGGTTTTGGTTTTCAACTTAACTTGTCTTAAGACGCAGAATAGCATATATTAATTTTGCCAAACAAGAACTTTGTGACGGTACCTTGGTTTTTTTATTTTCTTTCTGTAATTCAACGGCACGTTGTCAGTTATTCCTTCCTTGTATTATTATTATTATTATTATTATTATTATTATTATTATTATTATTATTATTATTATTATTATTATTATTATTATTATTAGTTGTCAGTTATTCCTTCCTTGTATTATTATTATTATTATTATTATTATTATGCAAAGATGAAGTTGACGATGCTGATTAGCCATATCTGCAGTACGAGAGAAATGCACCTTTCATATAGGCCTACAGCACTGCAAACGCTGCAGCCTCTTCATTATCAAAATAAAATACAGTCAACCAAACATATAGATACACTATAGAATCTAGATACACTGCTTCATTAAAACAACCTGTAGTACAATCCGTGCCGTTCAGCCTGAGCTCGGGCCAAGCACAGATTTGCTCATGTGAAGAGGACGATGTTTCATGTGAAGAAGACCATGATTTATTTGTAATAAAGTTAAGTACAAAGCCTGGTTTACATAGGCCTAATAAATAATAGTCTGTAGCATTCAAATTCAAATAGGCAACATTGTGAATATGGAAACATTTGAATTCTGAGATTTGGAAATGAGAGAGTAAGAAAAAGGATTATAGGGCCAAAAAAAAAAAAATCTCCAGAATAAAGTCCTTAGCCTATAATGTGAGATTCAACTCATGAAATATCCAGAAAAATGTAGAAATAAAATATTAAGAATAAAAATAATTAAATTTGGAGAATAAAATCGTTCATCAGCATCATCAACTTCATCTTTGCAGACACTGACTCAGAAAACAGTTTAGTAATAAGTAGCCTAAATAAAATATGTTCTATCTTATGCGATTCGCTTGAGCGCGGAATAGGCTGTAGCGTATAAAACGCTCGTTTAGTATAGTTTAGTTTAAGTTAATTTAATAGTTTAATTAAATATAAACGTGTGGTTAAACTAATGGCTTAAATGAGCGACTAATAGCCCTTTTAATAATAATAATAATAATAATAATAATAATAATACAAGGAAGGAATAACTGACAATGTGCCGTTGAATTACAGAAAGAAAGAAAAAACCAAGGTACCGTCACGAAGTTCTTGTTTGGCCAAATTAATATAAGCTATTCTGCATCTTAAGACAAGTTAAATTAGAACAAGTTCAATAAAACATCTTTATTATAGGCTATTTCTACGGTAGAGGAAAATAGCCTAACCAAAAAGAAACAAAGAAAACACAATGTAACATTCACAGAACCGTACTGATGGAATGCGCACATGTGACTGGGGCTAGTGCCATCTAGTGGTCGCTGATTTTCTGTGGCTCAGCTGCGCGTGGATCGCGAGCTGTGTGTGTGTGGATTGGGCAAGGCTAAAAGGGCGGAACGAAAGTCTCAAAATTCAAATGAATCAAATAGAATCGACTCAGAAGAGACGTGAATTAATGCACGCGCGTCGCCTGATCCACAAATGCACATTTTAATCGCTACATGCACAAATGATGATACTTTAATACAAACTATAACATTTGTATTCACAAATATGTCTCTACTTGAAGAAAATGCTGCACATGAATGTAATTCTTAACTCTGCAGACACCGGTTGAAAAGCATTTGTTTCAGTGTAGTGACGCACATTTGTGAATTTTTCTAATCGTGTACACGTTAATGAATTGAACTGGGCCTTGTTCGTTGGTAGCTGTGTGTGTGAGCGTCGTGAAATGCTGTAAACTGCGAAAATGAAGTCTCAAAATCTCAATGAACCGAACAAGATCGACTCGAACTAGACGTCAATTAATGCACACGTGTCACCTGATCCATATATGCATGGATTCCTTTTTGCATGAGCAATTTATGATATATTAATGCAGAACAGAACATTTTTATTCGCAAACATGTCTGTATTTGTACAAATCCCTGCACAATCATTTAATCCTGGATTCCAGAGACTCAAATTGAAAGGCATTTGTTTGTGGTTAGTAAGATACATGTATAAAATGTATGCAGTACATGGATAATTGTGCGTGCGTCTATTAATCATTTAGAGTCTAATATCATCCCATATGTTTTTGGTGCTGGTTTGAGGTGTGTGTTTGTGATGCAGTGGTTTATTTGCAGTCTGTGTCTCATAGCTGCTCTGGTGTTTGTCATCGGTTGCCAAAACAGTGAGTAACGTGAGGGCTTCAGACGGAGATTCATCACGCTCTCGCTCAACATCCGTCTAGTTTTCTCTTGTCTGTGGGCACGGATCTTCAGCTTTACAGTAAGTGAATGGAGTGAGATTTCAGAGATGGATTGCGTTTCCAGCGTTTATCGACTGCAGAGAGATACATTAGCAGAAGAGAAAACACGGCTCGGGATGAGAGATCGATCCACTAACATGAACAACTGCAAATGATGGAGAGAAAAAAACATGCTGTTTCTCCAGAGAACCTGATCGTCGTGTTTCTAACAGCGGATCTGTGTGCTAATAATCATTAAACATTTGATTTTAAAGTCAACGTGACACATTAACACATTTTACTGCCATAATGAGACATTTTGTGGTGAAACAGGATATTAGAAAATGTAATAATAATATCTTTTGTATGTGTTTGTGTGTTAGTCATACATATACTGTACACTACCTTTCAAAAGTTTGAATTAAATGCTTTAATGATTTTTAATCAATGCATTTATATCAAAAATACAGTAAAAATTTGTAATAGAGACATTTTGTGGTGAAACAGGATATTAGAAAATGTAATAATAATATCTTTTGTATGTGTTTGTGTGTTAGTCATACATATACTGTACACTACCTTTCAAAAGTTTGAATTAAATGCTTTAATGATTTTTAATCAATGCATTTATATCAAAAATACAGTAAAAATGTGAAATATTTTTATGATTTAAATAACTTTTTTCTATGTGAATATATTGTAAACTGTAATTTATTTCTGTGATCAAAGCTGTATTTTCAGCATCATTACTGCGATCTTCTGTGTCATGTACATGATCTTCAGAAATCATAATAATATGCCATAAATAAATGTTGCTCAAGAAAGTAACAGTAAAGACGTTATGTATGTTACAAATGATTTCTATTTCAAATAAATGCTGTTCTTTTTAACTTTGTGTTCATCTGTGAATCCTGAAAAATTAAATGTATCACGGTTTCCACAAAAATATTGTGCACTAATAATAAGAAATGTTTCTTGAGCAGCAGATCAGCATATTATACTGATTTCTGAAGATCATGTGACACTGAAGACTGGAGCAATGATGCTGAAAATACAGCTGCGCATCACAGAAATACATTACAGCTTAACAGATATTCACATAGAAAACAGCTGTTTTACATTCTAATAATATTTCACAATTTCTACAGTTTTTACGATGTTTTTATAAAATAAATATAGTCTTGGTGAGCAGAAGAGACTCTTTCAAAAACTTTTGGGATTGAAAAATGTTAGTATTTTGACTCTAAATGTAAAGTCTGGTGTTAAAGTGTGCAGAAGCAGATATTCTATTCATATATCAGCATGATTCAGAGTCACATGATCACACTGAAGGCTGTCTCTCTCTCTTTAGGTGTGTGAACAGCGTGAATTCAGATGATCAGTCTCTGAGCAGCTCGAGGCGTCCACAGACAGACAGACAGACAGACAGACACAGGTGAGCCGCTCTCAGAGTCAGACATCAGGTGTGTTTGTCCCGCTCTCAGCTTCGGCCACTAATGTGTCCCTGGAGCACAAAAGCAGTGTTAAGTTGCTGGGGGATATTTGTAGCAATAGCCAACAATACATTGTATGGGTCACAATTATACATTTCTCTTTTATGCCAAAAATCATTAGGATATTAAGTAAAGATCATGTTCCATGAATGTTATGTGTTACATATAAATGAAAACTGCCTAATGTTACCGAGTGAAACGTGGATCCAGGAAGTAGTAAAGGCCTGTGCAAGCTTTAGGAGTGCTGATGGAAGCCATCTACTGCATCTTTGTTTGGATCATCTTACTGAATATGATCCAGATGTTGTGTTTGAAAAAAATGCTTTTTTCTGCTTTTTTTGCTCAGAAAGTTGCTTTTTTATTTATTTATGAAACTTACCAACAATCAAGTTTTTATTTAAAAGATAATTGTTGAAGATAGAATAAAGCATTTTTTTTGTTTAAAGTAGAGGCTCTCTTCTTTATTTTAACATATTGCATGTTCAGATATGCATATAGCAAAATATTCTTGGGGTCATGAAATATTAGTGAAAATAATCAGAAATGCTGGCGGTGGCTGGCAACTTTTTTTCAAAAACGCTGGCGGGGAAAGAGTTAATATCACATTTGTGACTACGCTCACGCTGATATTTGGGAAAACGGCACTCTTGCTTGTGTGACATTACTTAACTATATCATATTTTGTAAATATAAAAACAAAAACCTATAAAGGATTTATTCTTGCATTTGTAGCTTGAATGAAATGGGAATGACTTGAATGATATTTAAACTGCATTAATAGGTTTCATCATGCACTGAATGCTTTTGGACAAAGTGAGTGACATACTCCATAATGTCAGCTCACACATCGTTAAAACAACAATTACGATATTATTGCAGACGATAAAAATCGAACATCTGAAATCTGTGTTTTTGAGTCTGAGCATGTGTTTTTTTGTCGTGACACTCGAGCATTCAGGAGTTTTGGTGTCTCAGGACAGACTGTGTCTGCTCTATATTTGTTTGTCGGCGCGGCTAATGCTTCACACCTGCTGTCGGGCTCAAATGATCAGCCGCTCATTGTGTTTGTGTGCTGACAGCAGACACGCACACGCTACATGCCTCAACTCACTCACTCACTCACTCACTCACTCACTCACTCACTCACTCACTCACTCACTCACTCACTCACTCACTCACTCACTCACTCACTCACTCACTCACTCACTCACTCACTCACTCACTCACTCACTCACTCACTCACTCACTCACTCACTCACTCACTCACTCACTCACTCACTCACTCACTCACACACACACACTCTCTCTCTCTCTCTCTCTCTCTCTCACTCACACACACACACACACAAACACACAAACACCAATCAAAATTGGAGGAAAGGTTGAGGAATTACAGCTCTTTGTACCTCCCTCCTTTTTCAAAAGCTGTTTCATGAACAGGCATAGGCTATTCTTTTGTTATTTCTACATCAATTAAGCAGGTAAAAGTTCTGGAGTTGATTCTTAGTGTGCCATTTGCATTTGGAAGCTGTTGCTGTGAACCACATCATGCGGTCAAAGGATCTCTCCATACAAGTGAAAGAGACAATTGTTAGGCTTCAAAAACTGTTCTGTGTGAGTTGAATATGCAGATGTAACTGTGTAACACTAGGCTTGATCTGAGTGTGAGTGTGAGTGTGTGTGTGTGTGTGTTCTGGTTCTGGATGTTAATTGGCGAGCGGAGGCAGGTGGTGCCACTGGTTGCTCAGAAGCTCGTTAGCGCAGCGCTGTGTAACGGCTTTGTTTCTACAGTGTGAATATGAACGCTGGTGCATGAACTCTTGACACGACAATTCATCCATAATAACATCCCAGAAACCCCCGTCCAGACCGTCAGTACCACCTTCTCTCTGACCCTGATGTAAACGGCCTGTTTTTGCTACTGTACCTTTAAAACATCATGATGTACATGCCCTCTGTTTGGACCAGAGTGGATGTTTGTGAGAAGTTCAGTCATTTTAAAGTGTCTTTGCATAGAATGTCAAACTTTTAGATTTCAGACGAGTCTTAAGGGTCACAGCGTCCCATTCGGCAGCTTTACCTTATGAATTTCGATTCATTTCACATATCTTTGTAAAATGTAATGTGTCTAAAGTACAGTTTGTGTTTTGTGAGATGGAATGCATACATTTTATATGCACTAATTAATTTGAGTCTATATCCAAGTTACTATAAACAAGAAAACATATCAGAACCTAATAAAAAAATATATATAAATATCATATAAAATAGAATAGTCAGATAGAACAGAAGAGAATAGAATAAAATAGAATCACCTTTAATTTAGCATAATTGAGATACTTTTGTGTTTTATAAATATTTTTTGAATTAGTCTATTTTTGTATTTTCATTTTAATTTGAGTTTTAATTTTAGTAGTTATGCAATTTTTTCAGTTTTATTTTTAAATCTGTGTAAATGAGAAATATTGCCTTTGCAACTACAGTAGATGAAATAAAATCAGTTTAAGTTTTTAAATATATTGTCATTTTGTAATTTATTTAATATTTGTTATATTTTAATACATTTTATATATATATTTTTTTTATGGTTTTAGTTTTAGTTAAGTAGTAACCCTGAATATAATAACATTGATTGAAATGGAATGGAACAGAACAGAACAGAACAGAACAGAACAGAATAGAATAGAATTGAATAGAATAGAATCAGTGTTGTTTTTAGTAGTTATGCAATTTTTTCAGTTTTATTTTTAAATCTGTGTAAATGAGAAATATTGCCTTTGCAACTACAGTAGATGAAATAAAATCAGTTTAAGTTTTTAAATATATTGTCATTTTGTAATTTATTTAATATTTGTTATATTTTAATACATTTTATATATATTTTTTTTTATGGTTTTAGTTTTAGTTAAGTAGTAACCCTGAATATAATAACATTGATTGAAATGGAATGGAACAGAACAGAACAGAATAGAATAGAATAGAATAGAATAGAATAGAATAGAATCAGTGTTGTTTTAGAATCATTGAGATACTTTTATAGTTTTTATTCATATTTAGAATTTTCTCTTTTCACTTTAATTTTAATATTGTATGTTTTATCCATTTTATTCGCTTTTTAAAATATTTTTATATAGCTTTTTTTAATTTTATTTCAGTTTTAGTTTGAAAATAAATTAAAATTAGAAATGTAGCTTTGGCAACTAGCTGAAATAAAATAAGCTTCAGTTTGAAGTTATTGTTTAATATATATATATATATATATATTTCAGTTAAAGTTTGTTTTATGTCAAGTGACAAGTGTTTTTTATATTTATATTTAGTTTTAGTTAACTGCAATAATCTCGGAAGTATTCTGAACAGAACTGAAGACTTGAGTAGTGGCTCCGTTTGATGGGCCCCTGCTCGTCTGGAGCGCAGACTAATGTAATCAGGCAGGTGTGGGGGTCAGCGAGGGTTTATGGGTCGGGGTCGGGACCCCTGGTGTCGGTTCGGCTTTGTTGGACTGTCTTAATTAGAGCCTTTGGGTTCCATTGTGCACAGACACTTAGCAACAATCCCTTCATTAAACGCTCCTGTGAGTTTGGCAGGTCGGACGCGTGTTTTCGCACATTAATAACGGAAAAAAATGCTGTGGGTTCCGTAAAGGTTAAGATCCATGCACAACATCTGTGATCTGCTGGAGATGACCACAGAACAAACTGAACCATCACAGTTACACTAATGCACAGTCTGCAACAGGCGTCTGCAGCAGGGCTGTTACAGTTCACTAAAGCTAAAACCATGAGAACAACATTTTCATTACTTAAAAAAATAAACATGTATGCTTGTATGTAAATGTTTCTTTGTATATAAAAAGAAAGAAACATTTCTCTTGATGTACTAAAATAACAAACTAAAACTGAAACTAATTAATAAAAACATAGACATAAAAATTATATTAAATAAAATGTATAATAAATACATTTATAATATGTGCATCATATAAAATGTATATATTATAAATTATAAACAGATATAATAAATAATTATTAAAAAAATAATAGTAAAATGTAAACAGAAAATACTAAAACAAAAACTAATATATAAAAACAATAACAATGAATAATAAATAAAATTTAATCAATTAGTAACAATTGAATAGATCGTAATAAATACATTATATGAAATGTATATAATTATAAATTAGAATACATATAATACAGAATTATAACAAATAAAATAATAGTAAAATATAAATAGAAAATACTAAAATAAAAATGTATGTAAAATATATATATATATATACTTTAATTGTAGCAAATAATGAATAATAAATACCATTATAATAAATAAATTATATAAAATATATACAATTATACATTTTATTAAATATAATAAAAAACTAAATTATTGTTAAATATAAATGGAAAATACAAAAATTGTGAAATTATAATAGTTTCTAAATGATGCTGAAATAACTCTGGATAAGTGTTAAAAGTTTCAAATGTTGAACAACATCTGTGATCTGCTGGAGATGACCACAGAACAAACTGAACCATCACAGTTACACTAATGCACAGTCTGCAACAGGCGTCTGCAGCAGGGCTGTTACAGTTCACTAAAGCTAAAACCATGAGAACAACATTTTCATTACTTAAAAAAATAAACATGTATGCTTGTATGTAAATGTTTCTTTGTATATAAAAAGAAAGAAACATTTCTCTTGATGTACTAAAATAACAAACTAAAACTGAAACTAATTAATAAAAACATAGACATAAAAATTATATTAAATAAAATGTATAATAAATACATTTATAATATGTGCATCATATAAAATGTATATATTATAAATTATAAACAGATATAATAAATAATTATTAAAAAAATAATAGTAAAATGTAAACAGAAAATACTAAAACAAAAACTAATATATAAAAACAATAACAATGAATAATAAATA